TGTTGCATTATCTTGGCTGGCAAAAGTGACTGGTGCCAAAATACCCAAAGGATCATACACCGAGCTTGTTGTGGATAGCATGCCACGTCTGGTTAGAGCCTGCTGTTTCACTTCCATCTTAAACTTAAAGGAATCTGACTCGTCGCACCAGAGTAGTCCCAAAGCTCTCTCAAGAGGAAGATTGTCTCTATTCAGATCCAGGTCCTTTAGCTCTTTAGCGTTCTGCTCTTTTGCGATTGTGTGCAAAACTGCCCGACTATTGCTGATCAATTTTTCCAGCACAAAACCTCCTCTTTTACAGAGAGCATTAAGATGTTCAACCATTTGTATTGCTGCCTTCTCTGAGCCCAAACCCATCAAACAGTCATCCACATAGAAATGTAGCTTAACCGCTTCAACAGTCTCAGCAGAAAAGTCAGACTTGTTGTCGTCAACAGTTTTCCTTAGCGCATAGCTAGCAAAACTGGGAGAAGAGACAGCCACAAAACAAATGCACTGTCATTCTATATTCCTGGATATCTCTGGTGAAGTCTCCCTCTGGCCACCAGAGAGATCCAGGAATACAGAATGTCGGATTTTGGCCGCTACAATCATCGTTTATGTCTGTTGTTCTACAGTCAGAGAGACCTTCACTTGTAACACCTTAAATGTGTGTAAATAGGTTTCTGGACCTGGTAGTGACTGTGCTGAGTATTTACCTCCATAATAATCTATTCTCCATAATCTTCTAGACCCTATGCTTCCCTTCCCCTGGACAGACTCTGCTAACACTCCCAGTTCCCAGATTACATTGTCTCCGACATGGACATCCCAGCTGTGAATCCCTGAGTTAAAGCCCTCAGAGCCCAGGACAGACCAGTAGTAACTATCAAACCTCTCTGGGTTATCAGGAAGTTCCTGTCTCACTCCTCGTCTCACACTGGTCAGACCTTCAGACAGGATGAGTCCAGGACTAGCAGTGTTTGGGTCCAGGATGAGAGGAGAGTAGAACATCATGTCCTTCATCTTCCTCCAGATGTTGAAGCTGAGGTTGCCCAGGTGTTTGGCCTGGTCTATCAGAGCTCCTGAGGGCAGCTGTGGATCCTCCAGCAGGGGGCGCTGCAGCCTCTCCACTGCAGCCTCTGTGTCTCTGACTGTGTGTGAAAGAGCTGCTATCTCTCTGCTCACAGCCTCCATCTTCTCCTTCATCATCCTCCTCTTCTGCTCCTCTTCCTCCCTCAGTGCAGCCATCCTGGCCTCCTCTTCCTCTTCTAGAAACTGGTGAAGCTTCTTAAACTGCTTCTTAATCTGCGTCTCTGTGCGTCGGGCCTGGACCTTCAGGTGTTCTGCTGTTTGATCAAACTTCACTTTAACTTCTTCAAAAGTCTCTAACTTCTCCTTTAAGGGCTGCAGAGTTTCCTGAAGCTCCTTCCTGTGTTGTCGTGCAGCTTCATCGATTGGTCTGAGTCTGTGGTCGCTGTGTTTCTCTGAATCTCTGCAGACGACACACACTGGCTGCTGATGGTCCAGACAGAAGAGCTTGAGTTTCTCAGAGTGCAGACTGCAGAGAGCCTCTGGAGAGCTCTGACCTCTCTCCTGTAGGAAACTCTCACACAGGTTCTTTAACACCAGGTTACAGGGAGGTTCATAATCTGAAGGTCTCTTACAAAGTGGACACTCTTTGATGACTTTCTCCGTCCACCAGTTCTGCAGACAGGCTCTACAGAAGCTGTGGCTGCAGGACAGGACCACAGGATCTTTAAAGATCTCATGGCAGACAGTACAGCAGAAATCTTCCTCTAATCTGGAAGCCATGTTGTCTGTGAGTGAAGCAGTAAACTGAGCAGCAGCCGCTCCCTGTTCCCTTAGACGTCCTCTCACTTTGAGTCTTTGTTCTGGTGAAACTCAGCGTGTGGATTCAACAGCTGCTTGAAGAGGAAGGTATTCCAGTATTCCCTCCTGTGGACGTCCTCTCAGTGGAAGATGTGTTTTTGGTATGAAGTTGAGTCTTAGAGCCTGTGTGTGTATGGTTGTGTTTGTGTGTGTGTGTGTGTCGTCTCAGCGAGGCAGAATTGCAACATGTTTCCTGGTTAGTCTCATGTGAGTCAGGTGAAGCATCATCATGACAGTTTATCCGTTTGAGTTTCATTCAAAACGCATGAGTCAAGTTTGTTTCCTCAGTACATTACCACAGTGTACCATCCTTGAAAAACACAATTTCTTGAGTTTTGACAACTTTAAGTCTTTTAAAAGTAGGTGCTTTTTTTATAAATATTTACATGGACTGCCCCCCCCCCCCCCCTCCCTCCCTTAGAGGAATTCATCCTCAAAAAACACACTGGACGCTGCACTAGGTCAGAAACCAGAGGAGACTGTGAAGTCCACCGTAGACGGACCACTTTTGGACAAAATGTCCTCTCCATTAAAGGCAGCTCATTCTGGAATAGCCTCCCAACTGAGATACGGGATTGTCCCACTCTCAATAGTTTTAAAGGTCAACTCAAAGAATGGTTGAGAAAGAAACAGACGTATAATCACAGCTAAATGCACTTTAATACAGGGGTATCTCCTCTTGCACTTGATGTAGCTCTTGTATCATCTCTTGCACTTTATGTCGTTGCTGCTATATTGTACTGCCATGTGGCAAATACTTGTGTATGCTGCTCTTGCTCTTTTTGCATATCATGTATTTATTTTTTGCCATATTTATAAATGTCATGTTCTTATATGTTGTATGTCAGGGACTATACGGATGGAAATGAGCTCAAAGCAAAAAATCCGGCATATTTACACTTGAAGCATTATTTGTCTTAAGTGTTCATTAATGTGCATTGTCCCTATTCAAATAAACGATTAAATGAAATGAAAACAAATTAAAATGTGTAAATCAAATCAAATCAAGTTTTATTTAGCACATTTTAAAAAAAAATTGGTCGAGCCAAAGTGCTGTATATATAATACAAAAATAACCTACAGTAAAGACACTTTACAGCAAATACAACAGCACATTTTGTGAAGAATATCAGTATGAGTAAAGCAAGTCATGGCAAGTTTATTTCTATAGCACTTTTCAACACAAGGCAATTCAAAGTGTTTACAAAAATGAAAGACATTAAAAGCATTAAGAAATAGTGCAGCAGAAACACATTATAAAATGGCATTTAAAAACAGTCATTAAAAAGCAAAGATAATAAAATAAATATGAATAAAAATGACGGTGTGAGTAGTTCAATTAAAAGCAGCGGCAAATAGAGAAGTCTTGCCCTGGATTTAAAAGTAGTCATAGTAGTAAGAGTTGCAGCGGCCCTGCAGGTATCTTGTAGTTTGTTCCAGATATTTGGAGCATAATAACTGAACTTCTCCGTGTTTAGTTCTGAATCTGGGGACATAAATCTGACCAGAAGACCTGAGAGATCTGGATGGTTCATAATGTAGCAGGAGATCAACATAAACCATGCAATGATTTATAAACCAGCAGCAGAATTTTGAAGTCTCTGACACACAGGAAGCCAGTGTAAAGACTTCAGAACAGGAGTGATGTGATCCACTTTCTTAGTGTCAGTGAGGACTCGAGCAGCAGCGTTCTGAATCAGCTGCAGATTTCTAATAGATGTTTTAGTGAGACCTGTGAAGACACCATTACAGTAGTCGAGTCTGCTGAAGATAAAAGCATGGACAAGTTTTTCCAAATCCTGCTGTGACATTATTCTTTTGTGTAGGCGCGTTGGCGTGTTGTTGCGTTGGCATTTTACATTGGCGTGTTGTTGCGTTGGCAGGTTGGCATGTTGTCGCATTGGCGTGTTGTCACATTGAAGTATTGTTGCGTTGTTGTGTTGTTGCGTTGATATGTTACGTTGGCTTGTTGGTGTGTTGTTCCGTTGAGTGTGACGAGTTGGTGCGCTGCAGCTCCAGTAACATAGCAAATATAGAAACACAAAAAGCATATTGGAACCTATGATCAGCGTCGATAAGCTACTTTAAAATCAATAGGGGAATGATGTGGCAGGCAGCAGCTAACACTGAAACTGATATTTCCTTGGCTCATCAGGGCTTTATATTATACAGCAGCCTCTACAGTCACCACTTTTACTTTTAACAGTGCTTACGTTGAGGATTGACCTTTATATATTCCATCAATAGCAGGGGGGTCCAAACTGTTTTCACTGAGGGCCACATACAGGAAAACAGGCGAAGGGCTGGTCCACTCAATAGAGGTGGGGTATAATGCCTCACAAGTTAAGTTATAAGATAGCAAAATCAATCAAATGTATAAATTATGCTTGATATTTGAATATGCTTTAAGAAACATCCCAGCTCTCCAGAGGGTTTATTTTATTGAACAGGATAGCAATGATACAAAACATGTAGAAATAAAGAACAATATCTCAAATCATCCTATATCTCTATATTACATTACATTACATGTCACTTGTTAGACGCTTTTATCCAAAGCGACTTACATACTCAATACTGTGGGCAATCCCCACAGGAGCAATTTGGGATGAAGTGTCTTGCCCAGGGACACAACGACATGCTGACTGCAGTGGGGTTTGAACCTGTGACCTCCTGATCCGAATACCAACTCACAACCCACTGCACCAAACTTGGAGCCCTCAATCCAAAATAAGATGGTTCATCAACAGTCAGTGGTTAACGTATACATCAGAAAATCAGTATGACAAAAACATTAAAAAATATTGTCCACTTATGTTGATAAAGATGGAGTTCATTTAAGTCTTAAATGAATGTTGTGCAACAATGTTAATCCAGTCAGACAGATTTCTCTCATGTGTGAACTGTCATAAGACTTATTCATTATCCTCTCCATCAGCTTCTGTTTCCATGTGTTCAGCTGAGCTGCTGATTGGAGGCTCTGCCTCTCCGTTATCCTCAGTTTGAATTTCATTAAGCTGTGAGGACTGACGACCAACACACTTGTGTCTTTTGAAATCAATACGCCATTTAAATCTTTTGTCACAAACATTGCAGCTGTATATTTCCTCTCCTGTGTGGACTCTCATGTGTGACTTTAAATTTCCACTCCGTGAAAAAGGTTTCTTACAGACTGAGCATCTGTATCGTTTCTCTCCTGTGTGGATTCTCATGTGTTCCTTTAAATGTTCACTCCGTGAAAAAGATTTCTCACAAACTGAGCAGCTGTGTGGTTTCTCTCCTGTGTGGATTCTCATGTGTTCCTTTATATGTTCACTCCGTGAAAAAGATTTCTCACAAACTGAGCAGCTGTGTGGTTTCTCTCCTGTGTGGATTTTCAAGTGTTCCTTTAAATGTTCACTCCGTGAAAAAGATTTCTCACAAACTGAGCAGCTGTGTGGTTTCTCTCCTGTGTGGATTCTCATGTGTCGATTTATACTTTGTTTCTGTGCAAAATATTTCATACACACAGAGCAGCCAAATTGTTTCTTTACAGCACTACGGCTTGAATCACTGACGGATTCTTGTCTATTTTTCAGTGAGTTTGAGCCTGATGCAGGTTCTCTGGTCTCCTTCCAATCAGAACTGTCTTCAGCGTCAGGGTCAGAAGAGTCTCCAGTGTCAGGTTCAGAAGAGTCTCCAGTGTCGTCCTCATTCTTTGGTTGTAAACTGCTCTCTGGATCTGAGTTCCTGGCTGGTTCTGGTCCTCGACAGTCATCTCCATCAGCTGCTGTTTTCATGTGTTCCGTTTGTCTTTGATGAGGCTGTGAGGACTGAGGTTTCTCTTCATCATCTTCACTCTTCACAGGGTCAGGAGTGAAAGTGGACTTGATGATATCAGCCTCCTCCAGCTCCTGAAGCAGCTCTCCCTCCTGACTGATCCTGTGTTCCTCCTGTTCCTGCTTAATGTGTGTGGGGGGCTTTGGGTCCTCCTGGTCCAGACTGGTGCTCCACTCCTGCTGGTCAGGGAGAACCTCTTCTTTAACCACCACCAGCAGCTGGACATCTGCAGGAAGCAGGAAGCACACAGTCAGAACAAACTGTTTAGTGTTAGCATTTCAAAATCTAATGACCATTACAATGGGAGACATTTGGCAGCCCTAATTAATGCCTTTGTTTTTATACCTTATATTATCTTTCTTAGTCCCAACTATTGTGTATTTTTGTTGTCTCAATTCTGCTTATGTAGCCCAACCCCTTTCCACTTCCAGTTAAAAATGAAAATGTTTTTTTTCTTCTGGCTTAGCACTAGCTGCAATGTAAACAATGAATTGTATTTGGGATCGTTCACAGATACACTACGCCTACAGTATATATTGCAAATACTCTGTTAAATTTAAATCCTGCATTCAAACCTTATTGAAAATGGACCTATTATGCTATATTGGAAACGTATATTGGAGGGTCATACCTATAAAAAACATCTCTGTGAAGTTTTTTTCTTAAAATACCAAACAGATCACCCATTGAAGCCATGCCTCATACTGCTCATAACCCTCTTTTGCAGCCCTGTTGCAAACAGGCTGATTCTGCTGCTAGCCACGCCCCTTTGTAGCGTCACGCAGCTTTTCCCTGCTACCGGGAGATCTTAGCTAAACGCTGCCGTGATTAAATGCCATGTTGCGCTCCTAACCACTTCAAGCTTTATTTCTGAAACATTTCTGTCCCGCAGGGTTTACCACAAGGACATTACGTTACACATATTCTCTCCAGTAGCCTACAGCGTTAGCTCCATGGTTAGCTCTGAGTGTTAGCATGCTTGCTAATGTAAACACATATTACTCCCAAAACACGCCACGCATTGTGTTTCTGATACAGTACATAGCTTGACATGTTCTTTCTTAACTGTTTACCGCTAGAGCAGTGCCATTATATGTATTATATATAACAAATGTACTCTAAGCCTCCAGCCGACATCCTGCTGAATACACAGACACACAGCTGCGACTATATACGGAGACGATAGGTTGGGACATGTCACTTGTGCCGGAGACAATAGGTCGGGACGTGTCACGAGTGCTGGAGCCGATAGGTCGGCTGGATGTCGCCAATGACGTTATAGGATAGAAAATTCTGGATCTGATTGTTAGCACCCACCTTTTTTAGTTTTTAGACATGTGGGTAAGGAGGAAAAGAGAGAGGATTTTGTTTCCTGACACTTTGTGAGTTCCCTGACACACCGGGGACACATATTTATGTAAAAAAGACATCAACAAGTGCATTTTGCATGATAGGTCCCCTTTAAGTAAAAGTATGCAAGTATCATCAGAACATTTTACGGCACCTTCTTATGTAATAGTAATGATGGTGCAGTAAAATGTTCCCTGTCAGTGTTTCATTTATGATGTTTCTTGATTATTTTGTATGTTGCATTTTACTGCTGTACATGATCAAAGTTGCTCTTGTATAAATGATTATAGATGAGGGAACCTGCTAAATATTACAAATATGTGTGTTTTTTCTATACAGTACCAGTCAAACGTTTGGACACACCTTCTCATTCAATGGTTTTTGTTTATTTTAATGTGTTTCTACTTTGTATCAGAGTTCCCGTTAGAATATTTTTTCGCAGGTCAACATGTTAAAGTTTAAATCTTCCGGACAACATTTGAAAAGTGCAGGTCAAAGTTCTTCTTTGTTGTTTATTGAGCTTTAAAACAAATTGAGATGATTCGATATTAAACAAACTAATTATAGTAGATTAACTACATTATTCAAAAGTGTACAGTAATTTACAATAACACGGGAATAATAAACGGAGCGCTCTCTCCCTCTCCTGACAGCCCGTCAGTATCATGCAGCTCGTGGATCAGTAATGAGTGACCCGACAGTAAAACTAAACATATCTATAACTAGTTTAGGTAGTTTGAGAGTTAATTAAAATAGCTACCTGTGATATTCTAACCTGTAGTGTGTGTTTTGTTCCGCTCACCGCTGCAGGTGATTATGCAGAGCTGCGTGTCGACTCGTCAGCAGCAGCTGATCTCTCTCTCCCGTCAGATTAGACTTCACTCGCGTTTATGTCCATATCGATCAGATCTAGCTAGTTCTAGCTAATGATAGGACTACCTGCTTATTAAAAGATACCTAAACAATAAGCGTCGCTATGCAACCGGGTGAGGCCGCAAAGTATAGCGCAGCATTATGCATTTGGTTACATGCCCACCGGAACCCCGAGGCATTACCAACAGATCAATGCACAATCAACCCATACAGGACATCTCTTTCTCCACATTAAGTGTTAGACATTAGAATGGACTATTCTTATATGTCACATACTCTATTGTCTGTCACATACTATTCTTGTCTGTCACATAAGTGGCGCAACTAATGCGGTATTGCGCTAAGGGGAAATTATTTTGACCGGACGCTTTGACCGGAGAGATTTAGATTTGCCGGTCTTCAGCATATTTTACCCGTCATAGTTCGGTAATTATCGGCTAACGGGAACTCTTGTAGATTAATACTGAAGACATCAAAACGATGAAAGAACCAGTGGCGAACCGTGTCCATCACAACTGGACCTTCTGTAGACATTTTGTTTACTAGATCATTCCATATGTGTTCTTTTATTGTTTTGATGTCTTCAGTATACATCTACAAAGTAGAACCTATTTAAATAAATAAAAAACTTAGAATGAGAAGATGTGTCCAAACTTTTGACTGCGTCTAATACTAGTGTATATATATATATATACAGAATACATTATAAATACATGTTGGCAATAATTGATTGATGAGATTTCACATACATTTATATTAATGTTTTAATTACTCATTACTTCATTAATTTTTTAATGAATTATTCTCCCGCAATTTGAATTAATCCAAAGTACTTTTTTGATTTACTTTTTACACATTTAAAAAGAAAAGCTGAATAAAGAAGCACATTAAAACTAAAGTATCAATGTATGTCACATTTAATCAACTAGTGCTTACAGTACATGTATGGTTCATATGTATATCAGTCAATTAAATGGCATATTATTCAATGTATGTATTTTTATAAATATTTATTTTGGTAGGTTTGCTCTTCCGTAATAGTTATAATAAGGTACATTTGTCTAATAATACTTACAAACTTTTACTTAAATAAGATATGAAATTCGAATGCAGTACTTTAACTTGTAATGGAGTGGATTATGGAATGAACAATGGATGGATTTTCACAGTGTGGTGTTTGTACTTTTACTTCAGGATCTACTACCTGCAGCAAGTGCTGATAAAGGGTCTAACGTGTTATTGATGTGATAATAAAGTGTTACTGAATAGTGTAAAGTGTTAATGAAGAATAAAGGGAACATACCTGCACTGTGTATCCGAAGCTCAGGCTGTAAAACAGCGTCCAGTAGTTTCTGGAGTCTCTCGTTCTCCTCTTTGGAAAGAGACAGTTCCTCCTCGAGCTCTGCTATCGTTTGTTCAAACAGAGCAAATATATCTTCAGCAGCAGCAGTGAGTCGCTGCTTCTTCAACGACAGCAGCATTTGGACTTTACTCATGTTTACTAGATCACCTTTTCCTGCAAACTCCGTTAAACACACCGTTTCTCTCTTCATCAAACTCTCAATCTGACTAGTGTTGCTAACGTGTTTCCAGCTAGCATGCTAAGCTAGCTCATATAGTCCGAGGTAAACGCTCCAGAAAAAAGAGCACTGAGTCCATTCGGAGGTTTATCCAGACACACAGATGATGGTGCTGGAGTTCACACACACTTTATCTGGAACACAGAGAGAGAGAACCGTAGCGAAAATACGCCACATGGATCCGGGTTCTTCTTCTTCTTCTTCTTCTTCTTCTTCTTCTTCTTCTTCTTCTTCTTCTTCTTCTTCTTCTTCTTCTTCTTCTTCTTCTTCTTCTTCTTCTTCTTCTTCTTCTTCTTCTTCTTCTTCTTCTTCTTCTTCTTCTTCTTCTTCTTCTTCTTCTTCTCTCGGTTTTTGCCGGATTGCAAACAACTTTAAGGTGCATACCGCCACCTATTGTACAAGAGTGTGTATCACCATATCATCCTATCACCACTTGTGGAATTATACCACTGTATTTACGTTGTTTTAAATTCTTCCAATCAATCCTGTTTCACTCAAATACTTAAGAATGGCCTCCCTGGTAGCTCTTACCCCCTCACCTTCTGTTCCCAGTGTCCCCATCAGGCTCCACTCCCTTCCTGCTCTCTGACCCTGTCTCTTAGGTGTTCCCTCTCTGTTTTGTACATGTTGCAGTGTAATATGATGTGTTCCACATTTTCTTTCACTCCACACCCCCTGTATTCTTCAACTTCGCTTTTTCCCATTATAAACATTGTGTCGTTTAATCCTGTATGATCCAGTCTGAGTCTAGTGATGATGATCTCCTCCCGTCTGTTTCTTTCTGTATAGATATTTGTTATGACTGATTTCTGTAACTTGTGGCATCTCCTCCCTTTCTGATTTTCCTCCCACCTTTTCTGCCATATTTCCATACACTTCTTAATTATTGCTTTTCCTTCTCCTTTCCCAAGTGAAACTGGTATTGCTATTTCCTTAAGTAACACATCTGTTGCTAACTTATCAGCATGCTCATTCCCTTGAACCCCCTCATGTGCAGGCACCCAGCATAACTGCACATCTATGCCCCTCCTCTGAAGTCTCAGTAAGCAATGGTTAAGTTAAATGATTCAATCTTCTCTAACAGATATTGTCGACTGTATGCTTTCCAAAGCAGATAGTGAGTCTGTGCATATCACCACTCTATCTGACCTCTTCAACCCATTGTAGCCCAATAATTGCTGAGAGTATTTCTGCTGTATAAACTGATAAGTTATTTGACACTCGTTTGCGATTGATATTTTGAATTCTGGGATATACATGCCTATTCCCGTGCATTCTTGCATGCTTCTTATATCCATCTGTATACATGTTGAGGATATTGTAATACTTTTCGTTCAGGTACATACTCGTTTTAATTCCCACTTCATTTATTTGCCACTCTTTTTTCCTTTCTATGATACTCACATCTATGTTAGCTTCTGGGGAAAGCCACAGCTAAATGGGCTTGCTTTGGCAAACGTTATGGTCTCCTCTCCATATGCCCTCGTTCTCTCCTTACTCGTCCAGCCAAACCCACGCCCCTGGAACTTTGTATATTCCCAGCAATCCTGCAGTATTCTGTTTGTGATATTTTCCTCTCCACTTCCTTGTAGCCTGAACCAGTATGACAGAGCACGTTTCTCTCTTCTGATCTCCAGAGGTGTCGCTCCTGCTTCTAACAGAACTGCATTAATAGGGGATGACTTTATTGCTTCAATAGACAGCCGCAATTATTTATAATGTAATCTAAAAGCGATGTTTTTGCTGCTGCTCCATACACTATACAACCATAGAGTACACCATTTACCTCTGAACTGTAGAGAAGTAGAAGTACAAAGTAGCATAACATGGAAATACTCAAGTACAAATACCTCTAAGTTATACTTTAGTACAGTACTTGAGTAAATATACTTCCCACCTCTGATCATGTTCATTATTGATACTCAGGTGCTGAGGAGGCTTGGCTGTGTGATGGACGCACAGTTTGAGGATGTTTTCAACAACGTGAGAGCACACAACCCAACAGCACGTTTTTGGTCTAGCATCATTTTACAAAACGTTTGCATTAAGACACTAAGACTAGCTGGTCCATTGTAAAGATCAGTCTACCTTAAATGAGCAGTGGGTGATCAGCAGGTGAAAGGCAGGACACGGGAACTTGGTCCTGAGGAGATGTAACGATTATTAAACAAGAAATAGTCGAGTCAAGGGGTCAAAGAAATGAACATTTGTGATTATTAGCTAATTGGTTGCAGGTGGGTGAAATCAGGCTTAGGGAGTAACGTATTACATGTAACGGCATTAGGTCATCAGGATACAAAATAGGAAAATGTATTCCCTTACAGTTACAGAAGCAAAAACAATCAGATAACAGGTACATTTATGTAAAACAGGGCTCATTAACAGGATAGCAATGATACAAAACATTTAGAAATGAAGAACAATACAATCAAATTATCCTATATCTCTATATGGAAACTTGGAGCTCTCAATCCAAAATAAAATGGTTCATCAACAGTCAGTGGTTAACGTATACATCAGAAAATCAGTATGACAAAAACATTAAACATATTGTTCACTTATGTTGATAAAGATGGAATTCATGTATAGGTCCCATGTCATGCTTTTCCGGTTATTACCCGTCCCCTTGTGTGTTATGAAGGTTTTTATGCATGTAAACGGTCTGCAGAGTCACAACCCCTCAAAGTACACCCTGTAGCGAGTAAAACTCCGACACAGAAAAGACCTGTCTATGCTGCCCCAAAACGCCTCGTTGGAGATTTCACTTGGTTCCATTGTTTTCTTCCTGGGTATAGTGACGTGCCCATACCCAACAGTACCTAATCCCAGCTGCGAAAATGTGACTCGCTGGGAGGGGGGGCGGTGCGGGTGCTAGTGGAACCTCGCAGATAGGGGTGCTGCAGCCCCCTCAGCACCCCCCCCCCCCCTTTCCCGTGTCCATTCGCGATGTCTCGCTGTCTCGCAGATCCCACGCAGCAAGCAGGAAATTAACCCAGCTAACACTGTCCGCTCCTCGCAGCAGCGAGTCGCGCAACGTCCCGCCAACACGACACCCAGACCCCACGCAACATTCTCATCTGTTTGTCCTTACTGGTGTCATTTTTTGGTTGCTGACGCCATTGTAACACATAACCGATGTTCCGCTGTAACGGTGGTAGACTCATCAGAACAGAGTGGGCGAGCTGACCAATCAGAGCACAGTGGGCTAACGGGGAGGGGGCAGGAGCTCCAACAAGTCATTTAGGACAGAGAGTGAATACACATAGATACAGAGAAGCTGTATGAGAAACCAATGTGAGTTTGGAAAATTGCACAATATAAATCTATTCTAGTATACCTCAACAATGGAATTATTATCAGTAGAAATTGCCATCACATGGGACCTTTAAGTCTTATATGAATGTTGTGCAACAATGTTAATCCAGTCAGACAGATTTTTCTCATGGGTGAACTGTCATAAGACTTATTCATTGTCCTCTCCATCAGCTTCTGTTTCCTTGTGTTCAGCTGAGCTGCTGATTGGAGGCTCTGCCTCTCGGTTATCATCAGTTTGAATTTGATTAAGCTGGGAGGACTGACGACCAACACAATTGTGTCTTTTGAAATCAATACACCATTTAAATCTTTTGTCACAAACATTACAGCTGTATATTTTCTCTCCTGTGTGGACTCTCATGTGTGCCTTTAAATGTTCACTCCGTGAAAAAGCTTTCTTACAGACTGAGCAGCTGTGTGGTTTATCTCCTATGTGGATTCTCATGTGTCGCTCTAAATGTCCACTCCGTGAAAAAGCTTTCTCACAAACTGAGCAGCTAAAGGGTTTCTCTCCTGTGTGGATTCTCATGTGTCGATTTACATCTCTATTCTCTGAAAAAGATTTCTTACAGACTGAGCAGCTGTGTGGTTTCTCTCCTGTGTGGATTCTCATGTGTTCCTTTAAATGTCCACTCCTTGAAAAAGCTTTCTCACAAACTGAGCAGCTGTGTGGTTTCTCTCCTGTGTGGATTCTCATGTGTGCCTTTAAATGTCCACTCCGTGAAAAAGCTTTCTCACAAACTGAGCAGCTGTGTGTTTTCTCTCCGGTGTGGATTCTCATGTGTGCCTTTACATTTCCACTCAATGCATAAGATTTGGTACAAACTGAGCAGCTAAATGGTTTCTCTCCAGTGTGGATTCTCATGTGTCGATTTAAATCTCTATTCTCTGCAAGAGCTTTCTTACAGACTGAGCAGCTGTGTGGTTTCTCTCCTGTGTGGACTCTCATGTGTTCCTTTACATTTCTTGTATTTGTAAAATATTTCGTACACACAGAGCACCCAAATTGTTTTTTTTACAGCACTATGGCTTGAATCACTTACAGATTCTTGTCTATTTTTCAGTGATTTTGAGGCTGAAGCAGGTTCTCTGGTCTCCTTCCAATCAGCACTGTCTTCAGTGTCAGGTTCAGAAGAGTCTTCAGCGTCAGGTTCAGAAGAGTCTCCAGTTTCGTCCTCAGTCTTTGGTTGTAAACTGCTCTCTGGATCTGAGTTCCTGGCTGGTTTTGGTCCTCGACAGTAATCTCCATCAGCTTCTGTTTCCATGTGTTCAGTTTGTCTTTGATGAGGCTGTGAGGACTGAGGTTTCTCTTTATCATCTTCACTCTTCACAGGGTCAGGATTGAAAGTGGACTTGGTGATATCAGCCTCCTCCAGCTCATGAAGCTGCTCTCCCTCCTGACTGATCCTGAGTTCCTCCTGTTCCTGCTTAATGTGTGGGGGGGGCTCTGGGTCCTCCTGGTCCAGACTGGTGCTCCACTCCTGCTGGTCAGGGAGAAGCTCTTCTTTAACCACCACCAGCTGCTGGACATCTGCAGGAAACAGAAAACACACTGTTGTATCAGTCTTGGGCCTAGTCAATATAATTAGGTATGTTATTGAATTACAGTTTCCAGCGAAGAGAGGCCCATCGTCTCTTCCGCAATTATTAGGGGTGAGCGGAAGTGCAAAGAGGCCCTACTCAGGATAATACAGTTAAGTCTTGTTAGTTAAGTGGTTCATATCCAGACAGGGTATGAGATTTACCTTAATATTACCTTTAAATCGAAATTACCTTTCGACATCTGGAACATATCTGGGTGTGTACAAAAAAAAATGCAATGTAATGTGTTGGCTAATGTAAGGAAAATGGTGTGTGCGTTCATTACAGCTGCTATATGTGATGTGAAAGACTTGTACTCGTTGGAGCATTACCACTGTTGACTACTTGTGTGCAAGGTAATATTTCCTCATTATTATTTATTGCTGTACAACTAAATAATAATTAATCAACTATATCTTTGTTTGTGTTTTATTGATTCCTCTCTGTTTTATTCGTTCCTGTTGTGAGTGCTGAATTGCCACAACAACACAGTCAGACATTTTTTTCTAATTATGTTGGCTCAATTCACCTCATGTAGCCCAGCCCCTTTTCACTTACAGTTAAAAATGAAAAAGGGTTTTTTCTTCTGGTTTAGCACTAGCCGCAATGTAAACAATGAATTGTATTTGGGATTGTTCACAGATACACTACATCTACATTATAGAGTGAAAATACTGTTTTACAAATTAAAATCCTGCATTCAAACTAGGGCTGTGCGAATTATGGCAAAAATCATAATCACGATTATTTCTGGTCAATATTAATATCACGATTAGTACATACGATTATTCATTGACTTTGAAAACATCCATTTATTGAACTTTAAAACAAATTTAAATAATAATTTGAACAGTATGTTTTTAACTGTTGAATACCCTGAACTTTCAGTATAATTCAACTGAAAAACCAATGCAAAAAATAAAATATACATTTATATCTACATTTAAATAAATAATATTAAAAAAAATACCAATAAAGAAGATAAACAAATATTTTGGAGCGCACTTTGTCAACCTACTAAACATATATTGTTGGAGCTATATATCTCTTTATATTATTTAATAGTTTAACATTTATTTTCTTGCTGTTTATAGTGTTTATTTTAAATGTATTCTTAGTTAGCGTCATAGTAGTTTCTATGCTTTTATTTTGAAGGCATGTTTGGGCACTGGGTGATTAGAGCACCTGGTGTAATTGTATATATTGGAGACAGGTGGGTGATGGGAGCCAGAGTACTAGTAGGCAAACGTTTTTTTTACCAGGGTGTTTCAAGCCACACAAAAGAAAGCCATAGGAAAGGCTTAAAGAAAAGAGATATAGGAAACCTGTTCATTGTATTTTTTTATTGGAATAAAATGCACAAATTGAGGTTCTTGTCTGGACTTGGATGACCATTGCCCTGCGTAAGATCTGCTAACTAGTGCCTCAGCGGCTGTTTTAGCTCTATAGGATTTTGGCCGCTACATATATAAATATGATAGCTAATGTCACTCACAACCTGTAATGTTTATTTATACACGCAGTACTCTTATTTTGGTAGCCCCTTATCCGGAAACAGGAAGTAGCTAAGAGGCTCCGGCTGGACGAGGTTAGTAAAAGTTGACTGTACACTAGAGATAGGAGAATAAAGACACGGCAACTAAAGCTTCCCTTGTAACGTGTTTATATGGATTTATTAAACAGACTGCAAGTCACAACACAACATGGCCGAGAGGGATTTTAGGGATGGGGATGGGGGGGGGGGTAGAAGCAGCTGAAGCCAGTCTCCAACTCCAGGGACTTCGGGTGGCAGTATACGCCGTGAAGTTGCTTGCGGCCTGCCAGTAAACCCAAAGCAGAAGAAGAAGAAGTGACGTCAGCGGCTTCATTTGCCTAATCCTTCCCCCAGGAACTTATTCCGGTGTGAACGTGATCTGTACTTAGTTCATGAAAACTAAACAGGCGTCTGTTTACCTTCCGACCTCAGACATGAGCTTCGTCCGAGTTATTTAAGCAAACACAAATACAGATCGTCGACCAGTCAAATGCAATAGCAATGCTGATTCGGAAGCGAAGGCGGTTAAGAAGGATTGACAAAAGGATTGGACGACGACATGCACGCGCTATGGATTGCGTAACCTGTGTGAAATTAATAAACTGTGCCAGGTGTGTCGTATGCACAGTAAATAGGCTCAGCAGTTAAGACACCTTTATTATATATCCTCCTGAGAGCAACTGCATCCGTCTGCCATGAACCCTACAGAAACCTACGTGTTAGTTTTGGCCCATAGTGGCCCCCATTTTGTGTTGTGTAAAATGGGGGAAATAAAAAGTTAGCAAATCCCCATGTCCTCCTCAGAGGACATGCATAAAAACATTTAGTTTTAGGTCAAATAATTATTACACTGCTCTGAAACTCACTAAACTAACTCCTAAGATGTTCCCTTACTATAATTAATTAAAATATTGAACTCACAACACTGGTAATTACAAACGTAACCATTTATCTTTCTATAAATAGTGCTTGTGTTGATGGACACCATTTTGAAATACAATGAAATTATCTTTTTCAAAGCCACATATTTGGGGTGGGACACAATAAATAAAGCTTCGCCAGTTTATAACCGATGAAACATGATGGTATCAGAATAATCACCTACATGTGATGTATAGGATGCTACACAGGTCACTGTAAAGATAAAGTGTCAGAGGAGAAATAAGCAAGATACAGGATCTGTTTAATCGCCATGTAGGTTCTCTTTTATTGCACACTCAAGACAATATCAATAACGGCATCACGCTGTCCCATGTGTGTTGTATGCATGTAAATACAAGTTAAAAGTTTTAATGTAAATAGAAATTAACATTTTCAATATAAAATAAAGTGTCAGTAGTATCAAAACAATATATATATATATAAATAATAACAATAATAGGTAGGCTCAGCAGCAGACACACCTTAGTGCAAAGTGAAGTGTCAGTATTAATAACAGTGGCATATATATACAATCACAATAATACAAAATGTACTGTCCCAGGTGTAGGCAATTTGGGGTGAAGTGTCTTGCCCAGGGACACAACGACATGCTGACTACATTGGGGTTTGAACCTGCGCTCCCCTGATCCGAACACCACACACTCAACCACTGCGCCAAACGCCTCCCAACAAGTCATTGTACAGTTTATCAACGACGACAATTTTTTAAATGTTTTTTATTGAAGGCCTGTTGGATTTAATCAGCTCGCTTAGTACTGCCAGAAGCCCAGCCTGAAAGGTATTTTGTTACTCCACCTGGCGCGCAGCCTGGCGCGCAGCCTGGCGCGCAGCCTGGCACACCGCCAAGTCAGCATGGCGCAGCATCACCATGAGCAGCTGGTCGTCCGATTCCTGGGCCTTGTGTGAATGCAGCAGCCATTCGTCATGCATCTCCTTGGCACTCAGGTCCTCATTCTCCTTGCTGAGCATGGCACGGCGATCCTCCATCGCCATGATGGTGTCAAGGAAGCTGTCATCCCGTGCCCGCTTTCCTAAGAGGAGAAATAAGCAAGATACAAGATCAGTTTAATCGCCTAGTAGGTTGTCGACAGAGACAACATTGGACATGGTGCAGGCAGGGACAGTGTACAAAATGCAGGTGTAAAGTAGAAGATAAGATAGGATCAAATAATATCAAATACAAAATAAATATCAAAGTGCCCTTATTTATTGTTTTGTGCTTAATGTATGCTTGAACTTTGTTTTATAGGGATTAGTGGACATCAGTTCGATGCGTAACCTTCTTTCAAGGCCAGAGTAGTTACAGTGCAAGTGGATTGCCATCAAACATAACATGGCTGAGTGAAATTATAACAATCAATAAAAAAAAGGAAAAATAAATTGAATTTCAATTACATTTTACTTAAAGGGATAGTGGAAATGGAACATCAAATAGTTTCGTTTTAACTTATATACAAGCATAATTACGTACCAAAACAATCACACCTGATTAAAAAAATATAATAATTGCCTTACGCATGTTAGAAGCACTTTATTGCAGCTTCCCCGAAGTTTTTTAGAAACGAAATGTTCGACTCAGCCAAACCGGAAGTGACGAAAACTTAGGAAGACGATACGATAACAAACCATGGCGTCTATGCAGAATGAACGTGGAAGGGCAAATATACCAGACAAAGAAGAAGGATTGTACGAGGTATCCAGTGATGATAGCGAGTCAGAAACATCCTCTCGGCTTTCCTACGAAAATGTCGTTTTAGGAACTGAATCTGAATCCGGTTCAGTAAGCGACGATGGTGACAATATTGAGCCAGACGATGGACCATTACGTCCTTATTTGTTCGAGCCCGAGCCCGAGGTGATGGTTCACGGCATGGGCAATGGCGAGGATGACCAGGACCAGGCGCCAGATGATGCACCCCTACGCACAAATAATCTTGACTGGTAGGTCCCTAAGCATAGCTCACGCATCTTAAGATCACCTGTCGCCTTTACAAATATTAATCATTGTTAACCAGTTAAGCCCGAAGGTCCCCCCAGTGGACCCCTCCCACAGTTTTTTTTCTCTCACATGTCTCAGGGCTCATAAAACATTTATGAAACTATTAATGTT